AATCTCCGCATTATAAAGTCAGCTGGTTCGCAACCTTGATGCCACGTGCCATTTAATTCCCAGATCCTGTGAATGTGTTACCTTTCAAGTCAAAAGGGAATTTAAGAGGGCTTTGGGAGGTCTTCATTCTGCTTACCACACTGAAGGCCAAGGAACAAAATGGGGGAGGAAGAAAGAAGTGCAACACTAAGGATTGAAACTATTTAACATACAATGATACAAAGGGAAAAAATACCTCCCCACTCCCACACACTTGAACACACAGGGATGAAATTCTACTTGGCAAGGCTTTCCAAGATCAGTTGCCTGAATTGTCTCCAGTAGGTTAGCATTGCCAAGATGCCTGCCTGTTTCTTTTTGAGAGAAACACACAGAGTGTGTTGCAAGCAGCTGATCACGTGATTGCAAAATAAATGGGGGAAATAGAGGAATGATTTCATCTTTGCTCTGCAGAGATTTTGTTCACATTCTATCAGCATTAATTTGCAAGTCTCATGTCCTTTTTTTTTTTAACTGTCCGTCATTCTTATCAGAAAAGCAAAATCAGCTTCCAGGTCATCAATGAAGTCAATCTAAACAGGAAGAAAAAGAGAAAACAAGAGGAAAAAGGTACTATTGGTTATATTTGAGCTTACCCATCTTCTGGTTTTGCTTTAACTATATACTGTTTTTACCTTACAATTCTATGTTATAGTTTTAAAAAATCAAGCAGGGCATGGAGTGCATTAGTTCACAAATCTTCCACAATATCCCTGATTCCAGTTTTAATTCTTAAATATAACTGCCATTAATATTTGGTGTGCATCTTTCCAGGTGTTTTTATGCGTGCCATGTACCTATTAAACAATCAGTATCAAAATATGTATTGCTCTGCAGCATGGTCTGGTTTGAGATGACACAGTTTGATATACCTTTGCAGGAAAAAGAGATATCTATCAGAATCTCTTTTATCTGTGTACCTTAGTTATCTTAGTAGAATTCTAAGGCTTTCTATACAAGAACCAGGCTTTTTTTGAGACTTATTCTTACTGTATTTTAATTCTTCTTCCTCTTTTTGTTTCTGTTAATGGTCATTACCTACCCAATTCCTGCCTTTTGGAAACATCCTGCAGCGCTTCAGGGATACAGTCACCTACAGCTTCTGGCCTCCTAAGGCTTCACCTTCTTCATCGCTTTTCCAGTACTGTGGGGGAAGTTCTCCTGACTGTTATTCCTATGACGGAGCAGGTTTTCAGGAAAGTCAGTTGCTGCGTTTTTTCTTTAGTAATCTGTGGAATTTCTACAATTTCCCGTCTGTGTACCCCAGGGCCATCCCCAGTGGGGACACTGCATAAGTTCTAGCCCTGGCTCGGCAGCCACATCCTAGTTTTACAAACCCTGATATGTCATTAACCTCTTTGGATGACTACTTTCTTATCAATCAAGAAGGCCAGGAGAGGGGGTGGTGGTTTTCAAAGCATGTTATGAGCCCTGAGATTCTGCGGGGCGGCCCTGGAGTGGAGGTTAGGCTGGAGATAAAGAAAGCTTGCCCTACTTTATTTAGCTCATGGTTTACAGACCAAAGTCATATTTTGTTTTGTCTTTTACCTAATAGAAGGTTTGATCCTTAGAAACTCACTGAATAATCCGTACATCAACATCTCTGAGAGGATCCTATAGAACCTCCTGTTTTGTGAACAAGACATAAAATATCTGTAGAACTTACCTAAAATTACCTAAACCAAGTTCTAATTTACTCTTTACTTAGCTAAAAAAAAAAAAAAGTTGGAAAAATCCATAGATTCTCTGCATTTCGGTAGACTTAACTGCTTTTAATCTGATATTTGTATTGTCAAAAGCAACTATATTTGAAATCATTTTATAACTGCAGCACATTTTCATCACTGTAAAAACTCATACCGCTTTTGGAAACTCTGGTTTCTGTTTTCTACTGTTTTCTAACAGCTATTTTGCAACCTACTCTACAATTGATTTCTCCCAGTCATGGCAATCTACTGGTTCAAAACTCCCAAGGCTAAATTTCTAAATTTATTTTATAATTACTCTTAGTTGTGCTACAGTAGAGATGGTAAGGGAAAGTCATAGGGTAATTACCAAGAGTACAAGTAGCTGGATCTTTGGGCTGGGTGGGGTGTGTGTGTGTGTATGTATTCATGTGCTCCTTGCCTTTCTGCAGCTATGGTTTGGGCAAGGTAATTAATCTCTGTGTATCTATCTCTTTTTCCAGAATCTCTAAAATGCTTCTTTGAGAGTTAAATGTTATAGGTTTTACATGGTAATCACTTGGTACGGTGCCTAGCATGGAGGAGACTGCAGTTGGTCGCTAGCATTGAATTGTATGCTGTGTCAGCCCAAGAAAGTAAAACCTTACCATCCAGTGCCAAATTGGATTTTATATATATATATATATATATATATATATATATATATATACACACACACACACATACATATATATACATACATTATACATTTTATCATTATTGAAAGAGGATAACTTGGAACGGTTTAGGTATTTCTACTTCCTATATTTTTTAATAAAAATTTTAAAAATTCATGAAAGTGCATAATTGATCTCATTGTTTAATCATGGAATATATAATCTAAACAAACAAAATAATATCAATACAAAGAACACCATGGAGCAGATAGCACAGTCTTACTGGACCACCAAAGCAGAGGGAGAAAATACAGAGTAATATAAAAGCTAAAGCTTACCTGCCCAGCGTCCAGAGCAGACACGGCAAAATTGATAATGTCCCTCTTTTCAGATATGCGGAATGATCTTATTGGCACACAGTTCAGGCAGCCACCATCATAACAAGAAACGCATAAGGGATGAGTCCTATTTTTATCACCCCCATTCTAATGTAATGTTATAAGAGGGGCTCATAAAAACATAGAGAATGTTAATGAATCTGTTTCCTCCGAATAAAAACAATAAAGCATAAAACCAACAAGTAGTAGTTATATGAACTTTTTTGTTGTTGTTTACTAAAACATATTTAGAAAAATATACCTAAAATGAGTAGTCAATATAACAAAGGAAGAAGACTGGAAAATAAGGGGGATAGTGAGCTGATTTTTAAAATCTGATTTAAAAGAATAATTTTTACCACAATAGAGGATAATTTGAAGCAACAGAGCCTCAGTAAAATGCATATTAATCAAATACAGAACTGAAATGTGCCTATAAATTTTTAAGTAGTGCAGAATGAACTTAATAGTCAAAGATACAAAGTAAATTCCTAAATATTGCACTTTTATTTCACTTTCAAGTTCTGAAAGCAATTCTTGTAAAATATATTTTGATTTAAATAAATTCAGAATACAATGTCTTCGAAACACGCATTTTTACAACATATTTATCTGGTTGCTAAACGCAAAAAGCATGGAAAAGCATGGAAACAGAGAGCCTACAAAACTCAAGTAAAATAAATTATACACTCATTTGCAAATATAGAATCGTAGAATATTGGAACTAAAAACCTTTTTAAGGGTTAACTGACCCAACCTTGCCTTTAGTTTTTATCTTTGTACTAATATGTTCCCTTTAACCATTTATATTTTTATCTTATATATAAGAGACATATATTCTCATAAGAATATATATGTATACATATAAGAATATATATTTATAGAAATCACCTGGTTTTTTTTAATTGGATGATATAATTTAATGTCTTTTTTCCCTCTTTTGCATATTAAAATGAGAGAAAAATCAACTGACTCGGCCAAGCATGTAGTCAATCAATCAGAAATTAGGAGAAATCCCTGTGGCCCGGGATCTTTCGTGCCGTGTCTCTTCTGTTGTACATTTCACTCAATAGGAAACTTCAGCCAATTAACTATGCATAGAATCCTTTCATCTATAAAGTCACAAATACTACATAACTCATATGAGTACAAAGAATAAGATACAATTTTCAACGACAAAATACTTACAAGATTATTATATTGGAGTCCATTTTGCCTAAATATATGAAGAAACATGTAAGGGCTGCTAGAAACTTAGGAAAACAGGGTCAGCAATGTAAATTAGAGCAATCACATTTGAATGAGTACTAAAATGAATACTGTAATCCACAATGAAATTGTGTTCCTTGGACCGTATTAACATATATATAGCTAAGTATAGTTTCTTGAGAGAACCTTTGTTTTCCTCCACAGTAACAAATCCTTTGAATCCAGACTTAGGTGAGTGATAAAAATTTAACTGCAACTTGCCCTCTGTGTACATGGCAGACATGTCTTAGGGATAAATCAGATCATAAATGAGAGTAAAACATTGCAGGTTATTCCAGAGACTCCTTTATTATCACTGTTTTCTCTACAAAGTGAAGATTTATAGGTGTATTAAAGGTAGGTCAAGTGATTATTTGTATTTTGAGGTCTTGATTTCACACTTTAAGAAAGAGCAGAATACTATTTTCCAGTATTGTTTCTGATAGGAATGTCTATTTGAAAATTAGCAGTTCCTTTTCTTTTAAATTGAAGTATAGTTGATTTACAATATTGTGTTAGTTTCAGGTGTACAGCAAAGTGATTCAGTTATATATATTTTTTCAGATTTTCCATTATAGGTTATTACAAGAAATTCAATATTGTTCCGTGTGTTAACAGTAAATCCTTGTTACTTATCTATTTTATATATAGTAGTGTGTATATGTTAATCCGAAACTCCCAATTTACCCCCTCCCCCCACCCCCCTTTCCCCTTTGGCAACCATAAGTTTGTTTTTTATGTCTGTGAGTCTCTTTCTGTTTTGTAAATAAACTCATTTGTATTATTTTTTAGATTCCACATAAAAGGAATAAAAACAAAGATAAACAGATGGGACCTAATCAGAAGCGTCTGCAGAGCAAAGGAAGCCATCAACAAAATGAAAAGACAACCTATGGAATGGGAGAAAAATATGTGCAAATGATGCAACCAACAAGGGGTTAATTTCCAAAATATACAATAACGAAAAAACAAACAACCCAATCAAATAATGGGCAGTAAACCTAAATAGACATTTCTCCAAAGAAGATATACAGATGGCCAACAGGTACGTGAAAAGATGCTCAACATCGCTAACTGTTAGAGAAGTGCAAATCAAAAACCACAATGAGGTATCAGTTCACACAGATCAGATTGGCTGTCATCAAAACGTCTATGAATAATAAATGCTGGAGAGAGTGTGGAGAAAAGGGAATCCTCCTACACTGTTGGTGAGAATGTAAACTGGTGCAGCCACTATGCAAAACAGTACGGAGGTTCCTTAAAAATCTAAAAATAGAAGCTACCGTATGATCCAGCAGTGCTACTCCTGGGTATATATCTGGAAAAGACAGGAAGTCTAATTCAAAAAGATATATTCACCCCAATATTCGTAGCTGCGGAAGCAATCTAAAAATGAATGGATAAAGAAGATGTGATACACACACACACACACACACACACACACACACACAATGTAATATTACTCAGGCATAAAAAAGAATGAAATAATGCCATTTGCAGCAACATGGATGGACCTAGAGATTATCATACTAAGTAAAACAAATCAGAGAAAGCAGTTACTTTTAAGAATACTAGGCACAGCTTAAAACGTTTCATGAAAGGAGCAAATTTATGGGGGGAATATCTTAATGAGCCAACTTCTAGGAATGAGCAGGTTCAGCAGAACTGTCAGAAATCTGCACTAAGCTCGATGCATGGTGTCCTCCCAGTTCAAGTCATTTTATATTTTGTTTCTTTGAGAATATTTTCATACCATCATTCTTGTTTACTTGCAGTGATCACCATTTCAGATGCATCGAAGCAGTTCTTCTTTCACAGGCTACCCTTGGTGAAATTGATCCAACCAGCAGGTTGTATACCAATTAAAAAGCTTATTTATAGTAAATATATTTGCAGTCTCTCTCTGCAGTTGCATTGTGTCTTCTGTAATTTACAATGTATCAGACTTTTAACTCCAGCTTCCTATAATAAAACTTTGGGGTTACTTATTTTAAGAGATGACTTTTTTTATTGCTTGCATAGCTGTAGACTCATTGAATAGTAGATTCAGGGGAAAAGGCCTTTATTTTAGGCTGTCAATATAGGGGCCTCTCGCAACACATATCTATTTAAGTATCTATTCATTAAAACTAAATAATGCTAAATATTCAGTTTTTTAGTTCAGTAGCCATCTTTCAACGTGCAATAGCACATGTAGCCTGTGGCTGTTATATTGGACAGGATAGATAGAAGAACATTTAGATCATCACAGAAAGTTCTATTCAACAGGCCTGTAGATTCCATTATTCCTAGGTGAGATCCCAAGAGATATGGATATCAAAGAGTTAAAATTCTCCTTTTTCACATGTAGCTCTTTGTCCAGAGACATCAAATGACTTAATTAAGCTCATGTCAATTAAATCACTGAATTTAAAAGGAATCTCTGTGTAAGTGTGAGTGGATATTCTTGAATGTGGTTATCGTGGTTGGGGATTGTCAAAAGTCTTAAAATTGGATTTAGATATGTGTTGATGATTTTTAAAATTTTTCTGAAATGCACTGGGGTATAATTTACATAAGTAAATACATCCCTTTTAAGTACAGATTTTCATGAATTAGAATGTGTATACACTAATATAAGTACCAACATCTCAAGATACAGAACATTTCATCACCGCAAGAGGTTCCCTTGAGACCCTTTCCAAATACCACTAATCTGCTGTCAGGACATATTAGATCTCTCTTTTCTAGAGTTCAAAAGAGTAGTCATGTATACTTAATGTACTCTTTCCTGTTGGGTTTACATCCTGTATACTTGCTAAACTCACCTTTTTTCTGTAGCTTTTTATGAAAATTCTTTAGAAAGTTCTACATAGATGATCATACCGTTTGTAAAGACAATTTTATTTCTTCATTTTTAACAGTATGCATTTTCTTTCTTTATCTAGCCATTAGTTCCTTGGCTAGAAGCTCCAGAATAACACTGAACAGAAATGATAAGAATGAACATCTTGTATTGTTCCTGAAGTTAGAAGGAAATAGCCAGTCATTCATCATTAAGCATGAACTTAATCTCTAGGTTATCTATCCATCAGTCATAGGAATTTGACCTTATGCAGTTGTGGGAGCTGGTCAAGCAGTGTCTTTAAAAGGCTGTTGTCTCTGTATCTGATGCTAGATGTTAAGTCAACAGGGCAGGGAGTTAAAGAGGGAAGCTGAACATAAGATGGGGTGATGATGGACAAAATGGAACCCACAAACGTGAGCTGGAACCTATGAGACTAGATTGGAACCTGCGTATGTTTGCATTGTCTTCAACCCTGATGATGCGGGTGTCTTTCAGGAGAAGCTGGTGCCCTCTGAGCTAAACAGGCTTCGAGCCCCCAAATCAGAGAAACTGAAAGAGGATCTGGCAGAAGAACAACTGCAGGTATGGCTGCTGCCCTATGAATAGAAAGACCCAAATTCCCTCTAAGCACTGCTATCACTGCATCCCACACATTTTTATAAGTTGTATTTTCTTTTTCATTTAGTTCAATTTTAATTTCTCTTGTGGTTTCTCCTTTGACCCATGTGTTGAGAAGTATCTTTTTTTTTTTTAATAACTTTTTAAATTTTATTTTTGGCTGCACTGGGTCTTCGTTGCTGGGCGTGGGCTTTCTCTAGTTGCAGAGAGCAGGGGCTACTCTTCCTTGCGGGGCACGGGCTTCTCATTGCAATGGCTTCTCGTTGCGGAGCACAGGCTCTAGGCGCGGGCTTCAGTAGTTGTGGCATGCAGGGTCAGTAGTTGTGCACGGGCTTAGTTGCTCCGCAGCATGTGGGATCTTCCCTGACCAGGGCTCGAACCTGTGTCCCCTGCATTGGCAGGCAGCTTCTTAAACACTGTGCCACCAGGGAAGCCCGAGAAGTATCTTTTTTAATCTCCAAGTGTTTGGAGATTTTTTCAGCTGTCTATCTGTTACTGATTCCTAGTTTAATTCCATCATAGAGAGCAGACATTGTGTGGCTTCTTTCAAAGTTGTTAAGGAGTGTTATGGCCCAGAATGTGGTCTGTCTTGTGAATGCTGCTGTGAGCTCGAGAAGAATGTGATGTCTACTGTTGATGGATGAAGCTGTCTGTAGGCTACATTATATCCATTTGATGGATGGTGTGTTGAGTTTAGTATGTCCTTATTAATTTTCTGCCTGCTGGATCTGTCCATTTCTGCTACAGGGATGCTGAAGTCTCCACCTCTAACAGTGGATTCATCTATTGCTCCTTGTAGTTCTATCAGCTTTTGCCTCATGTAGTTTGATTTTCTGTTGTGGGCACATAAACATTAAGGATTGTTATGTCTTCTTTATCATGGAATGCCACTCTTCATCCCTGATCACTTTCCTTGCTTTAAAGTCTACTCTGAAATTAATATAATTATTCCTGCTTTCTTTTGATTCTTATGATATATCTTTCTCCATTCATTTACTTTTAATCTATATCTAATCTAATGTATATTTAAAACAGGTTACAGACAACATATAGTTGAGTCTTGTTTTTTGATCCACTTTGACAATGTGTCTCTTGATGAATGTATTTAGACCGTTGACATTTAAAGTGATTATGATATAGTTGGGTAACCTCTACCATATTTGTTATTGTTTTCTATTTGTTGTCCTGTACTGTGTTCCTATTTTTGGCTTCCATCCTTTTTTCTTTTTATATGGTTTCAACTGAGCATTTTATATAATTCCATTTTCTCAGTTATACTACTTTTTATTTTTTTAGAGGTTGCCCTAGAGTTTCCAATATACATTTACAAAAATCCAATTCCACGTTCAAATAACACTTTGAACTTCATGAGTAGTGCGAGTACCTTATAATGACAAAATAATCCTAGTTCTTTCTCCCTTTCCTTTGTGTTATTGCTGGCATTCATTTCATTCATATACATAAGCATATACGTATATAAGAATACATAATCAAATATGTTGTTGCTATTATTATTTTGAACAAATTTTTATTTTCTTAGATCAATTTAGAATAAAAGTTTTGGAGCAACTATATGGCAATAAAATGGACAACCTAGAAGAAATGGACAAATTCTTAGAAATGTACAACCTCCTGAGACTGAACCAGGAAGAAATAGAAAATATGAATAGACCAATTGCTGGTACTGAAATTGGATCAGTAGTTTAAAAACTCCCAACAAACAGAAGTCCAGGACTAGGCAGCTTCACAGGTGAATTCTAACAAACATTTAGAGAAAAGTTAACACCTGTCCTTCTGAAACTCTTACAAAAAATTGCAGAGGAAGGAACACTTTCGAACTCATTCAGTGAGGCCACCAGGACCCTGCTACCAACACCAAAGATATCACAAAAAAGAAAATTACAGGCCAATATCACTGATGAACATAGAGGCAAAAATCCTCAACAAAATACTAGCAAACTGAATCCAACAGTACATTAAAAGGATCATACACCCTGATCAAATGGGATTTATCCCAGGGATGCAAGGATTTTTCAGTATCCACAAACCAATCAGTGTGATACACCACATTAACAAACTGAGGAGTAAAAACCATACGATCATCTCAGTAGATGCAGAAAAAGCTTTTAACAAAATTCAACATCCATTTTTGATAAAAACTCTCTAGAAAGTGGACATCGAGGGAACACACCTCAACATAATAAAGGCCATATATGACAAACCTACAGTTAAAATCATGGTCAATGGTGAAAAGTTGAAAGCATTCCCTCTAAGATCAGGAACAAGACAAGGAGTCCTAGCTACAGCAATCAGAGAAGAAGAAAGAATAAAAGGAATCCAAATTGGAAAGGAAGAAGTAAAACTGTCACTGTTTGCAGATGACATGATACTATACATAGAAAATCCTAAAGATGCCACCACAAAACTACTAGAGCTCATCAGTGAATTTGGTAAAGTAGCAGGATACAAAATTAATGCACAGAAACCTGTTGCATTTCTACATACTAACAAACAATGAAAGATCAGAAAGAGAAATTAAGGAAACAATCCCATTAACCATTGCATCAAAAATAGTAAAATACCTAGGAATAAACCTACCTAAGGAGGCAAAAGACCTGTACTCAGAAAACTATAAGACACTGATGAAAGAAATCAAAGATGACACAAACAGATGGAGACATACACCTTGTTCTTGGATTGGAAGAATCAACATTGTGAAAATGACTATACTACCCAAAGCAATCTACAGATTCAGTGCAATCTCTATCAAATTACCAACGGCAATTTTTCACAGAACTAGAACAAGAAATCTTAAAAATTTGTATGGAGACACAAAAGACCCCAAATAGCCAAAGCAATTGTGAGAAAGAAGAACGGAGCTGGAAGAATCAGCTTCCTTGACTTCAGACTATACTACAAAACTACAGTAATCACAGCTGTATGGTACTGGCACAAAAACAGACACATACATCAATGGAACAGGATAGAAAGCCCAGAAATAAACCCACACACCTATGGTCAATTAATCTATGACAAAGGAGGCAAGAATATACAGTGGAGAAAAGACAATCTCTTTAATAAGTGGTGCTGGGAAAACTGGACAGCTGCATGTAAAAGAATGAAATTAGAACGTTCTCCAATACCATATATAAAAATAAACTCAAAATGGATTAAAGACCTAAACTTAAGAGCAGATACTATAAATATAGACAGAACACTATGACATAAATATAGAGGAAAATATAGACAGAACACTCTGACATAAATCGTGGCCATATTTTTTTGGACTCAGTTAAAAAATGGGCAGAAGACCTGGGTAGACATTTTTCCAAAGAAGACATACAGATGGCTAACAGGCACATGAAAATATGCACAAATTGCTAATTATTAGAGAAATGTAACTCAAAACCACGAAAACCACGAGGTATCACCTCTCACCTGTCAGGATGGCTATCATCAAAAAGTCTACAAATCATAAAAGAGAGGGTGTGGGGAAAGGGAGCCCTTGTACACTGTTGGGGGGAATGTAAGTTGGTGTAGCCGATATGGAAAACAATATGAAGGTTCCTCGAAAACCTACAAATAGAACTACCATATGATCCAGCAATTCCACTCCTGGGTATATATCCAGAAAAAAACAAAACAAAACAGTAATTTGAAAAGATACATGCATCCCAATGTGTGCAGAAGTTTTATTTACAATTACCAAGATACGAAAGCAAGATAAGTGTCCATTAACAGATGAATGGATAAAGAAGAGGTGGTGTTTGTGTGTGTGTGTGTGTGTGTGTGTGTGTGTGTGTGTGCGCATATCACTTAGCCTAGAAGAAGAATAAAATTCTACCATTTGCAATAACGTGGATGGACCAGGAGTGTATTATGCTTAGTGAAATAAGTCAGACAGAGAAAGACAAATACTTATGTTATCGCTTATATGTGGAATCTGAAAATAACAAAATAGAAACAGACTTACAGATATAGAGAACAAACTAGTGGTTTCCACTGGGGAGAGAGTAGTAGAGAAGGGCCAAGATAGGATTAGGGGCTTAAGAGGTACAAACTACTATGTATAAAATAAATAACTTATAAGGATACATTGCACAGCACAGGGAATATAGCTCTTTTATAGTAACTTTAAATGGAGTATAATCTATAAAAATTTTGAATCACTGTTGTACACCTGAAACTAATATTATATATACATCAACTGTAGTACAATTAAAAAAAGAAATTACCATCATATAAAGATCCCATTATAGGAATAAAATGTAATATATATAGTAATGGTATGGATAAAACTTTGAAAATATTGAGCGATATACCATATTTCACTTATTATAAATGTACTTTAATATCTCTGCAATCAAAATACGTCTTACTGTTTGACAATATTTTCTTTTTTAGTGGTAAGTAAAATAATAGTACAATGTTGTTTTCTTAACTTTGATGAAATATGGGAAAAGAAACCTTGAATAAACAGCCAAATATTATGTTTAAAAAAAAGCAATTGAGAAACAGGGAGATTGTTTTGTTAGTCACGAAAGAAATGTCTAAATATGTCTAAACAAGATTGCTAAATTATGTATAAGACTGGCTGTCTAAAGGCCAATAAATTACATTATCAGTATTTTGTGGTTTACCTCTAACTTTATTGAGCTGTAAACTACTTGCACATTTATCAGTTGTGGGTTGTTAATCAAATATACTTGTGACCACAAAGTTACACCTCCAAGCGTTTCAGGTGAGAGTCCAGCAGAATTTTTTAAAAAATGCTCTGACATTGTAAAACAGTAATCAGTACGTTGTCTCTTTCTAGATGCAGCCCCGTAGGTCACCGTGTTTTCTATACCGAGATGCCTTTTGGTTTCAGAGGGATGCCGTGATAACCCCCATCCCCAGCACATCTTCACTGGAGGTTTATTTACAATGTACAATCCAGACACAGCAGGTGCAGCATACTAAAAGGATTTCCTAGGTAAGAAATCAGTGTACGGCAGTCCCAGAAGACCCTCATTTATCTTCCAGCCAGTAAATTCCACCAGTATGTTTAAAGGAGGACAAAACTGCTTGAGTTGTCCCCCCAAAGCAGGAGCAAACAGTTACAGACCCACTGTTAACCCTTTCTTACCCAGGCATACTAACAAATAATCCTTCCATGAATTATCTAGCCCTTGTTTTGGGTGGCGGTAAATAATACATTTTTTTAAAAAAGGAAAATCATAATTTTTATAGAAATATGAAAAGAACACAGACCACAGATGTTTCTATAACTCACAGATCAATTAGCAAGTCAGCAAAATGTTCCATTGGTTCAAAGGAGAATTCAAACACCCAGATATAGGCAATCAGGAATGCCGAAATGAATTTACAAGTAAATGCTAAACTAAGCAACATTTATGGCACAATAATCAATTGCATTCCTCGAGATTAAATTCATTAGCATTTCTCTAGAAGAATAATTTATGGTACTATATCTTTCCTACTACCTACAGAGTTATAAGTAGCTCAAAAATACTGAATTAGAAAACCTGGAAGGGTAAGCTAGACAGAAACCCAGTAATCATTTGTGCAGGCGGGTGTGCGTTTCAAAATGTCCCACAGTTTTTCCTGACAGTGGCCACTTTTATCAGGTATTTACCTAGAAGCGGATTTGCTGGATCAGGGGTATTCCAGTGTTCAGGTTTAGCGGATATTGACAGATATCTCTGTCTCAAGGGATTGTGCCAATTTACACACTCATCAGCCATGTAAAATTCTTTATACGCCCTTGAAAATTAGGAAGTTCTGAACCTCAATTCAGATCTACAGAGGGTGAATGTTTAAACGGTCTCCTTTGTAGTTCTCGTGCATCTCAAGTCGCTGCAGGCGGTGACTAGAACTCAGTCTGAGCTCAAGTCCACTGAAGCCAAGGGCAGGAGGGTTGATAAGGGCTGGGTGAGAGGGAGAGCACAGGCGATGTGTGTTCATTGGATGGAGTTACCCCGAAGGAAAAGTATACTCTCTCTTATCTTTGGGACAGGAGGTTGTTTTCTAACTAAGAACAAAGCACACATCAAAACTGGGCTCCTACAATCTCACAGGAACTGGGGAGTGTAGGGACGCTATCTCCCTTTACATTCTAAGAGCTGGGCTGTAAAACTGCCAAGAGGCTTTTAAAGAGATTTATATCTCAAAGGGGCAGGGAAAAAAAAAATTGTACCAGTTTTCTAACATACATGTTCTAGAAAAGGGAGGTCTGGTGCCTAGAGTCAAGAGAACCCTGTGCGGAGTTTGGAGAAGCGGAGGGTAACATTAAGGCCCTCTTGGTCTATATATCTAAGTTTCTTAAAAAGCACTAAAGCAGTCGTACAGAGCGGGTGTACATCAGTGAGAATTGTACAGAAAAGGAGACTTGATGGGGGGGGTGTGTGTGTGTGCGTGCGCACGTGCGTTCAGAGAGATTGATTGATTTACACTAATTGGTTCATGAGGCTGTTCGGGCTGGCAAGTCTGAAATTTGCAGGGCAGGCTGGAGACCCAGGGAAGAGTTGATGTTGACCTTGGGTCTGAAGGCTGTCTGCTGGCAGAAGCCTCTCTTCTTCAGGGGGACCTCAGTCTTTTCCTCTTAAGGCTTTTAACTGAGTGGGTGAGGCCCACTCACACCATGGAGGATGACCTCCTTTACTCAAATTCCACTGATTTAAAGGTTCACCTCATCCAAAAACTGTCTTCATGGCAGCATCTAGACTGACATTTAACCAGATACCCGGGTGCCGTGACCTAGCCAAGTTGACGCGTGAAATTAATCCTCACAGGCAGTGAGCCTGGTCTCCAGAGAAACGCTCTAAAGGGCTGCACGGAGATTCTGAAAGTGTCTTTCTGAAAAGTAAGTGTTTCTGAGAAACATTCCTCTACTACTTTTATTGAATAAATCAGTTACCTAATGGGGGAGATTCAGATAACTTGACATAAACTAGGGTTCTTGTGAATTTTTATAGTTTCAAAGAAGCATAAGCCATCATCATTTTTCTCTTCTGGGTCATGAAGCTGGCTTTAGAATATATGAATATCAGAAGAGTGCCCTGAGGTAAAGAAGATACCACTTTTTAAGGAAAAGATCCAATTTGGGAAGCAAGAACTGTGCTTTCCGTGGCCGGATAGGTAAGAAGACCCTGACCTTCTGACGATAAGAGTGTATTATTTCTGTCACGGCAGGGGACCCAGCACACAATCTGAGAAGTGAAGAGATTTGCAATTTACATCTTCATTGCGATACAGCAAAAAAAATGCGACGTGGAAATACAGCTTTTCTTAGAGTTAATCTACACACCTACAACCCGTGATAAGAATTAGATGTAGTTAGCCTTAGAAATGATAAGTTGAGATACTGTGTAGTTCTCAGTACTGGGGGAGAGCAGGAGACAGGAGAATAAAATAGAAAGATGCATCCAAGCACTAAATAGAGATGTTAAGAAAACTCCACCTGCGGCAAGCCTGGTATTCACCTGATGTGTTGTTGCTGTCTCTCAGATCATTGGATACACCTTAAAATGCAAATTGCTCCTTTCTAGATACTGGCAATTCTTCTCTCTCTTCAGAGGACTGAAGGTAATTTTGGTTTTCTACCCAGGGCCCTGCTTTTTCAACTTCTAAAGTCCTATGTAAAGGTAAAGTTATTTTAATCTACTCCCACAGGTTCCTGCTTCTCCTGGAGCCTTTATTATCCTTTACTATTCGGCTCTGAAGAGTCTACTAACGAACAGTGACTCCTAACAAAAAAGGAAATGAAACCGATCTACGACGCAGATTCATGGAAACCTACTTGATGGCTATTTTATCACTTGTCAAAGATCAACAGTGTGCATAATAACAATGAATTATTACTCTAGTTTTCAGAGTCCATACCGTATTTTTCGCATCCTACGTCCTCCTGGTTTTTATTATAATTCTTATCGAATGCTGAAGAGTAGCAGAATATACCACCTGAAAAGGGCACTCTGGCATAAGGATTAATTTGAGCTGATGGCAACTGAGAAGCAGCAGCTACAAGAAAAGCTCTCTGCGTTCCCCCATTTGCCGAAAAGCAGGACCTAAATTTGTAAAGGTGTCCTGTCTCCTCTCTACCGGGAAGGACCGAAGTTAGTCACCTGGGACAACTCTAAACTCTAGACCCTGATGAGCCCAGAGATGGCAGGTGAGGAATCTTTACGACAGAGGTGACTCATCACCCTTATCTTCCATTATTTCCCCACGTATTTACGTTCCCACAGTTTGCTGCCCTGGAAACTCAAAGTCCTTTCCTTTGTCTTATCACTTCTCTAAAAATGTACTGTTCTTTGTTAAGATGCCAAGTAAGCCCAAGTTCTAACCACCCCCTTTGAGTTACTCCTCACCGAGTGCTCCCTTGTATATGGGAGACACCCATGTTAACAAACTTCTGTTTTTCTCTTGTGGATCTCTCTTTGCAGGGCCCCAGCCAGAGAACTTAGGAGGGTGCGGGAGAAAGGTTTTGGTCCTTCCCCTACAAGAATAAAGCTTGCTGTTATAAATATTACACTTCTTCCTCCCCTATAATATTTTATAAATGTTACATTCTTTTTCCCCCTACCCACTTAGAATGCTAAATATTTGATTCTTTGAGTTCATAAAAATGCCTAGTTGACCCTATTTCCTAGATTCTAAAACCTTATCAATAGTATGATACTTTATTTTTTTCTGAAATGCTTCAAACCTGATTTTAGGTGATAAAACTAAAAGTAATTGAATTTATATATCTATGCATGTATGTAAAATTATGAAGTAAAGCAAGTTAATGATTAAACGGGGGGTCAATGGAAAGAGTGGACTGTGTGATTTCTTGAACTGAATAAGAGGTACCTAGGTTTTTCTTTTATTACTCTTATACTTCAAATACATTATTTATACATACCTATAATATACATTTTGCAAATGTATACAAATATATGTATGTGTACACATATGGTATCTCTATATAATTGGTAAAGATCAATTTGTGATGGCTGAGTTCTGATTTAGATTGAGCATGGGCTGTTACTCTGCTTTGAGGTTATCCCCTTTAGTCATTTTTAGTCATTGTTTATGTAACTCATGGATTGAATGGCTTTTGAAATAGACTTTCTCCAATGTAATTTAGCTGGGAATAAACATTTTTTGACAATATTATATCCCATTACTTCTCCAAGATCAATCTACTAGAAAGCTTTCTTTAATTATAATTGTGTAAAAGGAAGAGTTTTCCCTTACAGCAGCACTTGCCTAGGAGATATCAAAATGAAAAGTATTTCACTAAAATTTTAACCAGCTGGCATTGTTAAAGAATCACCAACTTTGAGTGACCCACGCATGCTAGCCTGGCATTGGACCTGACTGGAGACTCTTTCCTGACAAAGGAGCAATGCGATTTGTTTTAACTAATCATGAACAGACCTATGGATGCATTCCCCTATCTGCTTTCAATCCTTAATCGGAAAGCCCACCATGAAATCCTCTTCCAAACCTTTGAAACCCAGGACTTTCCCCTTGTCTAACTAACTACTCGGGGAAAATTCTTCACTGGTATGTTTTTGAAGCTGACAAATAAACAAACCCAACTTTTTAAATGGTCTTGTTTTGTTTTGTACTGGCTCCAGTGGATTTTGCAGTCCTTTTGAAACCTAGGTTCAGGATATTGATTTAACTTATAGTTTATTTAGATCTGAAAATATGCTCGTGAGAACGAAGCTGAAGTTATATTTAGTCAATATTTTATCTGATAATAACTCTTTTGATGACATTATCTTTTTTCATAATTTCTTAGAACTGTCTTGCGTCTCATGTTTTTATGTCAATACAAAAGCAGAAACTGACTATTTTTTCCTTTCTTTTGCCTCCTTTTATTTTTTGTTCTCATGACTATAACACTAGTGGTTTGCAAATGAGGTTGGCTTGTTTGTTTGTTGTTGTAGCTTGAGCTTCTTAAAAAAATTCCTTGCCAAAACCTTTGTTTCCTCCACCACTGCCTCATGTACACATCATGAATGTATCCACCTGCGCTCAATTATGTCAAACAAAGCAAAGAGAACTTGGGACGGTGCTTTTTTTAATCTACACCTGCTCCTCCAAAAAAGGAACTAAAGTGGAGTAGTCTTTTTTCATGGACTCACTGTAGGCTCTCTGGGGCTGTGTGAGAATGTGGTTATATTTTCTTAACAAACTGGTAATCCATCCTCAATCTGAATTGGTTGAACACTACAACCATCATTGTTTCCATTTCCTTTAGTGCCCATAAAAATGAATGCACTTGAATTCAATGACTCTAGACTCAGAACATTTGCAGTATATTTGTGCTGGACTTTAAAACGGATCTCTTCACTATTTTTATTCTCATTTTATGAAAGAACATTAACGCGGGAATAAAGAAGATAAAGAAAAATGAATTCCATCACGAATTAAACTATTTGCAAATTTCTTTCAGCTCCAAGCTCACATACTAATTTTATGCAGCTATCAGTGTTTTTATACGATTTTGTTAACATAAGCATTTTTGCCATTACCATACATTTTGTAATGGTATTGAGTGGATTCATATTATACCAAGTCAATGAAGCAGAGTTTCCTAACCATTCTTTCATTCTGGGTAGTAGAAAATTTAAGCTGTTCCTATTTAAAACAAATTATTAAAATTAACCTGTAGTTCAAATAACAAATGCTGGAGAGGGTGTGGAGAAAGGGAACCCTCCTACACTGTTGGTGGGAATGCAAGTTGGCATAGCCACTGTGGAGAACAGTATGGAGGTTCCTTTAAAAAAGAGTTTCCATATGATCCAGCAATTCCACTCCTGGGCATATACCCAGAAAAAACTGTAATTCAAAAAGATACATGCACCCCTGTGCTCATAGCAGCACTATTCACAATAGCCAAGACTTGGAAACAACCTAAATGTCCATGGACAGAGGAATGGATAAAGAAGATGTGGTACATATATACAATGGAATACTACTCGGCCATAAAAAAGAATGAAATAATGCCATTTGCAGCAACATGGATGGACCTAGAGATTATCATACCAAGTGAAATAAGTCAGAGAGAAATACCATATGATATCACTTATATGTGGAATCTAAAATATGGCATAAATGAACCTATCTACAAAACAGAAACAGACTCACAGACATAGAGAACAGACTTGTGGTTGCCAAGGGGGAAGGTGGGAGGGAGAGGGATGGACTGGGAGTCTGGGGTTAGCAGAGGCAAACTATTACATTTAGGATGGATAAACAACAAGGTCCTACTGTATAGTACAGGGAACTATATCCAACCTTCTGGGATAAACCATAATGGAAGAGAATATAAAAAAAGAATGTATATATGTGTATAACTGAGTCACTTTGCTGTACAGCAGAAATTAGCACAACTTTGTAAATCAACTATACTTCAGTTAAAAATAAATGAAATTAACCTGTAGTTGAACAGTGATATGAATGGATTTTTCTCCATTTATTTTAGGAAAAATAAATTTCATATGGTGGTATTTCTGGGTCAAATACTATGTACTTTTCTAATGACTCTTCTTATAAACATATTCTGGTTACATAAACATTTCTGAATGATTTGGGTATAATTTATAGACATCACCTCTCTTTTACCACAAATAAATTCAGTGACTTTTTTCCTAAAATATGGATTTTCTCTTATGCAGTCACAGTATATTTATCAAACTCAGGGTACTTAATACTGACTCAATACTATTATGTATTCCAGAGTTCATATTCAAATTGTATAGTACCAATTGTCCTAATCATATCCCTCATAATAATTTTTTTCTTGGTCCAAGTCCAATCCAGAATCAATTTTCAACCTTTTTTTTTTTCTTTTTTTCTTTTTCTTTTTTTGGCTGTGTGCTTGTGGGATCTTAGTTCCCTGACCGGGGATCAAACCCAGGCCCCCTGCAGTGGAACCACAGAGTCTTAACCACTGGACCACTGGGGAATTCCTAGCAGCCTTTCTTTTCTTTAATGATTTTAAGATTTTTGAAGAACACAGACCAATTGCTGAAAGTCCTTCAAGTTATATTTGCCTGATGTTTCCTCACGACTAGATCCAGGCCATGCATTCTTAGCAGGAGCATCACAGATGCAATGCTATGTTCCTCCCAGGGCATTAATCTAGAAGACACAAGGTATCAGTTTGTCCATTTATGGGTGATGCTAAGTTGATCACTTCAGTAGGTGGTGTCTACCAGGTTTTTTCCCTATAAAGTTACTCTTTTTTTTTCCTTTGTGATTAATTAGTAACTCAAAGGAGAAACTTTGAGATTATGTAAATATTCTGTTCATTAAAATTTCATCCACTATTTTTAGCATCTATTAATGATCTTGCCTGAATCAATCCTTAGTATGATGGTGGCAGAAAGGTGATTTCATAATAAAGCATTATTTCTGTATTTATTCTTCTTCTATAGAATTCTTCTAAAGAGCTTCCTCTTTTCCCCCATTCATTTTTTTATCAGTATAGATTTATATTTACATGTATTATTTTCTGAATTCTGTTGCTATCATTATTCTGGTGCTCAGGTTGTTCCAGATTTTGCCACAGGGAGCCCCTTCAAACTGGCTTGTGACATGTCCCCATGGTATTTTCAAACACTGACTTATTTTTTGGCACAATAAGATGTTCCAGGCTTACCTTGCACTTTTCCTATCGCAACCCTGACATCAGGCTTTTCTACGAGAATCCTTGATTCCTAGTGAGACCTGGGATATAGAAATCAAGGCCGGGTACTTGATAAGAACAGTGAAAATCTGTGGCATTTGAGCCACGACCCACTCCCTCTCACATCCCCCAGTAGACAGATGCACTATTCTGTGTGGTGCAGCTGAAAATACAGGGTTCCCTCTCCCCACCAGTTCACTGGCTAAAACTATAGTTCATCGCAAAAGGGGTAAATCACCAGCATTTCTAATTTCCTTTAGCTCCTGGCTGCAGAAACTCTTTTCCTGGAAGGTGTGGCTGAAAGGACAAGGCTCCCCTTCTCCCATGTAGGGATGGAAGCTCTACTCCAAACACAGCAGGTTGAGAATGCTTGGCCCTAACTGTCTCTGCCCCATCTTGCTCTTAAGGTAGAATTTTCAAGCTGGAGGGAGAAGCCAAGCCCATTAGGTTATACTACCCACCCAGCACCTGCTTTTACAGGTGTCACATGGGAGAAGGGGACCACTGTCCTTACCCCCAGATCCTGTACAGTGGTCCACAGGTTCTGCCAGGGAACAAAAGCAGGCTCTATACATGATGTGCTCTGCTGTTCTGCCTGAGGGGACCGACTGTGTTTGGAAAAGAATGTGGAGAAGTCACCTAAAGAGATTGACGGAGCAATGGAGATCTTGGTGGAGGGGGTTTAAGAGGAAACATGGGGCTCCTTTATAATGGTGGCCAAAAGCAAAACGTCAGAACACTTGGAAGTTTAACAGAGAGGATCAAGGAAAGATATAGGCAATTAGAGTCATCCTGGCTTCACAGTCAGTACTGGGGGTTGAGAAGGCTGTGTACACGTGCTAGGCTGCACCACTGAGGATCAATGAGAACACAGCATGACGAAGACTAAAAACATTCCCCACGTCACACACAGATCCATCAACAGGACAGAAGCCTCACTGTCACTAGGGGATCAAGCTCAAGGTCTGAGCAAACACTGGCTGAACAATTAGCATCTCTGATCCAGGGGCAACCCTTCGGAGGCTGGGCTTCAAAAGAAAATCACGACCATCCCTGGCAGTCTGGAATACTGCATGCATGCCCAAGACTTGCCCTTCCAGGAGTGACTGGAGAGGGCTTTCCAAGGGACTGGCCTGAATAGACGGGAAAAACCTAAACTTGAACTCTAGTATTAGCCTCTTAGGCATACACACATAACACGGTAGAGGATAAAATCTAGCTGGCCAAGAGGGCCAACCTCAGCAAAAGGACAACCTCAGCAAAATGTGGCTCATGCTGACTCAGAGGTAATGCTTAGGCAGCATTTGATATAATCCAATACCTTTCAGACTAAAATATAATTTTTAAAAAAAATCTGACCCCAGATTTCAGACATTATGGATATGTTATTAGACATTATAACTGTTACGAGAACCAGAAAACATCTTTAAAAAATTAAAGATAATGCTAAAAGCCATAAAACGGGAAATCAACAGTAACACAATCATAGTAGAGGACTTTAACACCCCACTTTCACCAATGGACAGATCATCCAAAATGAAAATAAATAAGGAAACACAAGCTTTAAATGATACATTAAACATGATGGACTTAATTGATATTTATAGGACATTCCATCCAAAAACAACAGAATACACTTTCTACTCAAGTACTCATGAAACGTTCTCCAGGACAGATCATATCTTGGGTCACAAATCAAGCCTTGATAAATTTAAGAAAATTGAAACCATATCAAGTATCTTTTCCAACCACAACTCTATGAGACTAGATATCAATTACAGGAAAAAATCCGTAAAAAATACAAACACATGGAGGCTAAATAATACACTAGTTAATAACCAAGAGATCAGTGAAAAAGAGGAAATCAAAATATACCTAGAAACAAATGACAGTGAAAACACGATGACCCAAAACCTATGGGATGCAGCAAAAGCAGTTCTAAAACGAAAGTTTATAGCAATACAATCCTACCTCAAGAAACAAGAAACACATCAAATAAACAACCTAACCTTACACCTAAAGCAATTAGAGAAAGAAGAACAAAATAACCTCCAAAGTTAGCAGAAGGAAAGAAATCATAAAGATCAGATTAGAAATAAATGAAAAAGAAGGAAACAATAGCAAAGATCAGTAAAACTAAAAGCTGGTTCTTTGAGAAGGTAAACAAAATTGATAAACCATTAGCCAGACTCTTCAAG